CCCCCCCCCCCCCCATCCCTCCCAGACGATAAATGATCACCGGTTCCTTATTGATAACCTTTTTTTCGCATGCTGTACCAAGTTCCCCCGAAACTGTTTTGTTTTGTACAATTTATCGGAAAATTGGTTGTTCAATATGACTGAATTATATAAATATACAAAATAATACTTTTCTCGATCGGCAATGCTTCCGCAAAACGTTTTTTGATCTCTTCTCTTTTCATTTCTCCTTTTTTTCTTCGGTTTGTATACTTCTTTACCTCCAGTGATGTTTTCCATCCAATTTGTGATATAAAACAAGTCTTAGACATATACAAAAATTCTCCGTTTTATTTAAACTAATATTAATACACACTGAGTGAGATAAAATCGATCTCGGTCTTTGTTAAAAAAAAATAGATAATGATAAAAATAATTAATGTAATAATTAAAATAACAAAGTAAAAAAATTTTTTTTTTGGGACACCAGAGCCTTTTCGAAGTTATTTGTTGTTCAAAAGAAAAATGAAATTGAGAGAAAAGGATGTTTGATAAAGAATGGACAAACAGGTCAGGAATGAACCATCAGCCAACTTGTGCTGTGCACCGCTGGTTTCACAAGACAGAGAGCTGGTTCGTCAAGCTACCGTTACGCTGTTACCCTTTTTCACAGAAAAACACTTTTCCTAATCCAGCCGTCTTTGACTTCTTTCACTCAATTTTTACATTAATTTTTACATTAATTCTTATATTTATCTTTCATTTATTTTTCTTAAACGAATTTATCGTCAAATTCATATGATACACTCTTCTTTTTTTAACACAAAACCTTCGAAAACTCAAAATCCAATTTTTATACACAAACTTCATAAATGTCAGCTTCTTCTTTGCAAACCATTATCAAGGTCGGTCACGTATCTTTTAGCGCACGCCCACTGATACCACTAACTTATCCAGTACTTCCTGGACAGTTTATGGACAAAATTAAAACTTTTATCAAGAAAAAAAAAATCGTTATCGACAGAACTTCGTTTCACAAATCATCAAGGCCAGTCACGTATCATTTAGCGTACGTGTACCGGCCTAACAAACACAACCCATACCTCATTCATATTATGAGCAGCCAAAACTGAACCAACAGTTTTATCAACGAAAAAGTTTATAAACAGCATTCCTTTCCTTAGAAACCATCAGCAACGGCCACTCGCGTATCATTTAGCGCACGCCCACAGGCCTCGTCAACTTATCTAGTACCTCCTAGTAATTATTAAGAGCAGCCAAGAACTAATTAAACAAGTTTCGTAAAAAAAAAAAATCAAACGCCATTTCTTTCCTGACAAACCATCAGCAATGGCCAGCTGCGTATCTTCTAGCGTACGCCCACTGGCCTCACCAACTTCTCCAAATACTCGTATTTATTTCTGCGAGTAGTACAGAACAAAACCGACCAAATTTATCGAAAAAAAATTAAGTAACAACACTTCATTCATTAAATGAAAACCCCAGAACTAAAATGATCGACAATTTTTATCAATTTCCTTACAAACCATCAGCAATGGCCATTCACTTTTAATTTGGCATAAGTCCACCGGCCTTGCCAACTTATCCAATACCTCATTCATTTTATGAGAACCAAGAACTTAAAAAAAAAAAAATTATACCTTCTCTTACAAACCATTAGCAATGGCCGGTCGCGTCTCTTTCAGCGTACGCCCACAGGCCTTACCAACGTATCCAAATACTCGTATTTATTTGTACGAGCAGCAAAGAAATAAATCAACAAAATTTATCCGAGAAAAAATTTTTGAAGTACCATTCCTTTCCTTACAAACCATCAGCAATGGCCAGTCGCGCATCTTTTAGCGTACGCCCACCGGCCTTACCAACTTATCCAATACCTCAATCATTTTATGAGAACCGAAGAACTAAAAAACAACAATTTTTATCCCTTTTTTACAAACCATTACCAATGGCCAGTCGCGCATCTTTTAGCGTACGCCCACTGGCTTTACCAACTTATCCAACACCTCAATCATTTTATGAGAACCCAAAAACTAAAAAATGCAACAATTTATATCCCTTTTCTTACAAACCATCAGCAATAGCCGGCCGCGTATCATTTAGCGTGCGCCCACAGGCTTTACCAACATATTTCATATCTTATTCATTTTAAAAGAATTAAAAAACTAAAAAAAAAACCTTTATTTTTATCCCTTTTCTTACAAACCATCAGCAATAGCCGGTCGCGTATCATTTAGCGTACGCCCACTGGCCTTACCAACTTATCCAATACCTCAATCATTTTATGAGAACCGAAGAACTAAAAAACAACAATTTTTATCCCTTTTTTACAAACCATTACCAATGGCCAGTCGCGCATCTTTTAGCGTACGCCCACTGGCTTTACCAACTTATCCAACACCTCAATCATTTTATGAGAACCCAAAAACTAAAAAATGCAACAATTTATATCCCTTTTCTTACAAACCATCAGCAATAGCCGGCCGCGTATCATTTAGCGTGCGCCCACTGGCTTTACCAACATATTTAATATTTTATTCATTTTATGAGAATTAAAAAACTAAAAAAAAACCTTTATTTTTATCCCTTTTCTTATAAACCATCAGCAATAGTCAGTCGCGTATCATTTAGCGTACGCCCACAGGCCTCATCAACTTATCCAAATACTCGCATTCAATTGTACGAAAGAAATAAATCCCACAGGCCATAAAAGCCCACAGGCCTCACCAACTTATCCAAATACTCGCATTCATTTGTACCAAAGAAATAAATCAACAAATTTTATCCAAAAGAAAACTTTTTGAAGTACCATTCCTTTCCTTACAAACCATTACCAATGGCCAGTCGCGTATCATTTAGCGTACGCCCACTGGCCTTACCAACTTATCCAATACCTCAATCATTTTATGAGAATCCAAGAACTAAAAAAATCAACAATTTTTATCCTTTTCCTTACAAACTATCAGCAGTGGCTAGTCACGTATCTTTTAACGTACGTCCACCGGCCCTAGCAACTTATTCAATACTTCATTCATGTTATGAGAACCCAAACCTAAAAATCAATAATTTCCATCCCTTTCCTTACAAACCATCAGCAATGGCCAGTCGCGTATCCTTTTGCACGCACACCTCTCATCGGCTTCACTTATGATAACATTTTTTTTTTTCACTATAAGAACAAAATCAAAACTTAAACTGCAATTTTTATGAAATCAATATATCATCAAAACCTCTCCGTTGCAAACCATTATCAACAGCCAGTCGCGTTTCCTTTTGCTCACGCAACCTTTAGCGGCCTTACCAACAATTCCAAAGCCTCATTTTATAAACAAAATCAAAACCTTACGCAGTAACCAAAACTAAAAAAAAATATGCACCAAAACTTTTTTTTTGTTTTTTGTTTTGCAAACCATTACCAAACGTTCCTTTGCTCTCCCTGCCAGATATAAAATCGAACCAAAGAGATGTTTCATCAAGCACTTCTCGACGTTCATTTCAAAAACATTAGTTGCTTACTGACCTCAAAAATGAAACAAATCGCTTCCTTAAACTGTCTGTAAGAATGTGACAAGTTATTGACTGATGTGAACATGTCAACCACGTACAATGGCTTTGCCTCCAAACCTGATGTTACGACGATAGGACAAAGAACATTCAGCTATGTTAGGTTGGGCAGAAGGATTAAGACACAAGTTAGACATCATTTAGACTGTTCGAAGATATTTCACATATTCTTCTGATTCTTGCTCTACTCAGGTCTCTGGTGTCCCAATTTTTAACATTTTTGAGTATAAAATTTAACAAATAACCAAAAAAAAGAATATATCAGAAAAATTTACTTTCCCCCCCACCCCTTTCCTTTGAAGTGGTCAGCGGAATAGCAATCTAATGGCGTCGATGGCACGCCAAAAGAATCGCTTCACTGTTCTGTAGCATGCGATGAAACCGCTGGTCAGTTCATGGCGGAGTAAAGCATTCTGCAAAAAAGGAAAATAAGAGGTTCAGTTTGGTATCGGATCTAAGTGCCATGAAACATTTCGCTGATATATCACCACGAAAGAAGGGATTGAATTATTCAAGATTACTCCAGATTTCCTCGGAGTCATGAAATAAATTAAGACATTTCTTACCTGCTGATAAAGAATTCGGATGTCCCTGAAAGTAGGAAAAAGTTTCTATTAGAACGAATTTTTATCTTAAAAAAGATATTTTTCAGTTTTTAAAAATATTTTATTACCCAAATATTTAGGATCATTTCTCCCATTATCTACATACATATAACCAATAAGCAAAGCAAAGCAAAGCAAAACAAACAAACAAACAAAGAAAAAACAACAACAAACCAAGGCCTAGCTACCCATAATAACAGTATTTTCCTTTCTGTCACTTTCTCTGACTTTCGCTTTTAGAACAGAAAACATTTACTCACATTTTCATATTGGCTTTTGTTTCCTTGTCGGCCTGGTCATAAAAAAAGTCAGAAAAGTTAAAACTAAAATTGTGGTAGTTCCATTTCTCTATTATATATTTTAATCTGTATTGCGAGAAGTTAAACGACTCGATCTGTTTGGTCAATTTTTCCCTTCCTCAAGAAAAAAAGGACTGGGAAAGAGGCTGACTCGATGTGGCGTCAGATTCTTTTCCCTCATGTTTTTGGTCGCGCGCAAAGCATTACCCGACGTTCTGCTTCGTTTCGGGAAGTCTTAGAAACGAGGCTGGCTTACGTCTTTTTTTAAATGTCGTAAAAGGAAATTCTCGAGTTGATTGATCAATATGTACCTCATTGATCTCGCCTCTTCTTTCGCATTCGGCTTTGTAGCTTTCAAGCTGAGCAGTGAGTGACTGCAGTTCCGCTTTTTGTTGTTCCTGAGTCTTTTTCAACCTGAAGACGTAATATAATGAATTACGGCAATGCTAAAGAATATATCTCGTAAAACTTCATAGGGACTATTATATTTCCCCAAGTCAAAACGGATAAATCGATGTTCTCCTTTCAAACATGACATACGTTAAATACTGTGGGACCTTTTCGTAGGATGCTGCTTCGAGAGTATTAAAGTGTCGCCTGAAAAGCCATCTCCCTAATGAGAGATTTACATTTACACA